ATTGTGCCAAAGAACAAACGGGCTGTTCCAGTATTTCAAATGATCTCCGCGAAGCAGGATGCAGCACTGCTTACATATTTTCTGCTTGAGATTCGTAGAGCAGGTGCAACGATCCCATCGATTGTTGTAATTGATCACAGTCGGGCAATGCTTGTAGCTTTGGCGCGCGCATTTGCAAGCTGTACGGATTTGAAGCATTATTTACAATGTTGCTACGACATTATACAGCATAAAGATACATTCATGCCTACCTCATACTTGAGGTTGGATGTTAGTCACGTAGTACGAATTATCAGCAATTGGGAATGTCTGCGACATTCGCCTAAAAAAGTACGGCAAATATATATTAGGAGTATATGTCAAGCATATAAAATGCAGTCAATGAAGGAATTAGAATCCTTTTTATTGTCCTTGCTCGTCGTAGCTTTAAGTGAAGATGTTGGTTACATGGACGGGAATCCTGTTGCAGCTGAGACGTATTTGCAAAATATTAATGATTGCATAAAAGGAGAATGTGTTGAAGATTACGACATTCAACATGCAACATTTTCTGACGATTTGGATGCTAAAGAAATTCCACCATCCTGGCAGAAATGGAGTGAAAACATATGGAATGAGGCTAATGATTTTGCATTGAAATCACAAAATGGAAGCACTGTCAACGCTTTCTATAATCCAGAAGCTGCCAAAAAGATCAAAGATCTAATAGCAATCTTACCATTATGGACTGGCGTAATGCGTCCTTATTTCAAGTGTGGCACAGAGATAGCAACATCTTCCGCCGTAGAGTCGCTTTTTGCCGAATACAAATCAAGATTTTTCAAAGGAAATATTCCTATGAGAATTGATAAATTTGTAATAAACCATTTAAATTATCTCGACGGCAGAATGCGAATAGATTTTGCATCTAACGACATTTCATCTCAAGAGTTGCATCAAAACATATCATTGGATCACGACGAAACAGATGCACACATGTTTGATGAGCATTCCGCTGAAATGTCGCTCCCAAATTCGACAACTTCCAATTATAATAAAGATCGCTCTAATATAGATAGTTCTATTATAATTACTGACAACTCACATAAGACCAACATCGCCAATAGTTCTTCTGCAATGTCCGAATCATGTTATACAAATGAAAGCGACGAAATTATACGGTTCTTAAATTTTGAAGAAAATTGGATGGGATTGGCAAGCAAAAACGCGAAAAAATATGGCAGCGTTAAAAAAAATACATATTTAGATAAGTGTTCCGAGTGGGATAGCGTAGACTCAAAAGACACAGTTTTTATCCCTGTCATAAAAAATGGTAACTTGTGCAAACCTGTGAAAGTGCACAATAAAACAATAATGTTACGAAATACATGCGCTTTCGACGCCCTTCTGCAGATTACAGCGCATATCATAGGCACAAACGCAAGTTATAAAGACTATGTTATACAGACTATGAATGACGATCCTTTCTTACGACTCGCCGAAAAAATAGCAACCCGAGGAAAAATTACTACAAACGAATATTTCGAAAGGGCGTTATTTTTAATTAATACGTCGTTATTTCCAGAGTCGGAAAATACTAGACGCTTCAATTCTTTGGATGTAAACTGCAATGCTGCCCATATGGCAGAACATACTTTTATCAACTTACTCAGCATTCAGCGAATTAAGATTTGTAAAGGGTGTAAATATCAAAATTAAAGAAAATTCATATTTATCGGTACAAACGTCGATATACTTTTACAGAGAGGACTACAAAAGATACAAGAGGCAATTGATGACACAAAC